TAAGTGGGGAAGATCTGTGCTGGCTTTATATACACAGCTAAGGTTCTTGTCAGGTACAGTGCAATGTGTATAACAGCTCTCATTTGCTCTGTTCTTCGTGGAGAAACGATGACAGATGACTGCACTTAAATTTATAAGCAACCAGAATTACATATAGGAAGTGGAATCAGGAAAGGGCTACATGGCTGCCTGAATTGGGAGCAGGTGTGTGTCTTCTGACAGAGTTTTCTGGTGAGGCACAGTGTCTGTCTGTCTGGTTGGTTTTAATTTGAAAGGTGTCCTGGCAAAAAGTCTTGTAAACCGTCTAGTGGTGATGGGAGACCCTTCCTCCCTAAAGCTCTGGGGCTAATATTTTTTGGTGAATAAGATACATTGTTTAGGCGCAAGTGTTGACTACTTGCCACTGGCTGGCTGCAGATGATGGGGGAATGTCTGCATTTGGAGGCCAGAAATTGTCCCTTGGATGGCCAAGGATGTGGGAAAAACCTTATTGAGGAGGGGGGAGAGAATTTGCTGTCCTGTGAGAAATGGCAGGACTGGCTAGAATGCTTTTCTTGTGTGTAACAAGGCAGTGGCATGTCCTACAAAGTGTTTTTAAGGGCTTTATGTCACTTGCCTTTACCATCAGAGTAAGTGGATCAAATGCATGAAATGCCTGAAGAATTCCAGTGGATGAGGGAGCTGTGGCCAGAGACTGCTTGCATTATTCCTGGGCTCTGCTCTCCTCTCCTGGATGCACTGCAAAATCTTAAAGGATATGACTGGGGACAGGTGGACACCAGTACCTGTAGTTCCTCAGACTCTGTCTCCTTCTGCCAGCTGCCACATACAATGATGGGCAGATTTGTTTCTCTGTATTCACTTCTGGGTTCTCTGGATTGTGCCCACATGAGCAAGTGTATTTTGAGGAACAGTTCTCCTTCTCCTTGATTCTCTGTCAGAGAATCATTGAGGTTGGAAGGAACATCTTGTGGTCATCTGCTCCAATGCTCTGCTAGAATAGGGACATCCCGAGCAGGCTGCCCAGGACCATTTCCATTTTGGTTTTGAATGTCTCTGAGGATGGAGATTCTGCCTCTTCTCTGGGCAGCCTCTGTCAGTGTTTGACCACACCCAAGCTGCTGTAAAAAAGAAACAGATCTGTCAAGGCTGGAGGTAAAGGAGGTAGGGAAGGAGTGGACTCCTCTGGTAATACTGACTGGATCCCCATGCAAGGGACAGCCTTTGCTCCTTTGTTCTTCCAGTTCGCTTGGCAGTAGAGACTAGAGTTTCCTATGTAATGAGTGGCATCAAGAGTCAGAGGTTATGGGGAGAACCTAATGGAATTTGGTGTGTGTGACCCAGAAACTGGAGGGATATGTTCTGATCATTGCAGGTGAAAGCCTTAGTTATTATCTGGAAGGGTTATGTTTGCACTTGTTCAGTTTTACCTAGTGAGGTATGAACTGGATTTTTTTTCAGTGGTACAGGACCACTTTACCAAATGGAGAGTGAATCCAGTAGGTAATAGGTGAGTTTGATCCCAGGGCACATCCACCTGTGATTCTGATTTGGGTCTCTTGTGGCATTATCATTATTAAACTCTTGTCAAGCATAGGGACTATGTGATCTGGAATCTGTTTCCACAGGCAAAAAATGAAGTGGTTTTGGTGTGCTGAGGTGTGTGGATTGCTAGCAGAGGTGGGTAGCACAGCCCTATGCAGAGGATAAACCTGACAGAGGGGGGACTGAACCCTTCTTGGGGTCAGCACTGGCCATTTCTCAGAGGTCTTCCAGTCACCTCCTGAGTTCTCTAGAATCTCTTCTCCAAACTCCTAATGTGTAGCTTGTTTGTTTTTTCCCTTTACTTGCAGATGGATGAAGAAGCCTCGATGTGGAGTTCCAGATCATCCTCACCTACGTCGCAGCCGGAGGAAAAAGCGGTATGCACTCACTGGCCAGAAGTGGAGACAGAAGCACATAACCTACAGGTACAGCCCCTCCCTCCCCCTTTTTGATGTGGAAAAAATGGTCTGTACTTGTTTGGCATTGTATTTGTAAGTACTTCTAAATTGAAACTAGATCCTCCCTAAATGTCTAGTCCAGGCTTTCATTCTCAGAATGTTGTGGAGGAGAATACTGTCAGAGCACTGGAGTAACTGAAGAGTCTGTTATCAATTAGAAAATAATGATCAGTAAAGGCAGCTAAATCACAGCCATCAGTTGTGCAATTTCGGCAGAAAAATCTTAGTAAAAGGCCCTTTTTCCTCCATTAGAAATCTAAGGCTCTACTCTTTAGATCATGTGTCACCTTTAACAAACCATTAAAGCAGAAGGAATATCACTGTTTGGGGATGAGATGCTTTCTCCTTCTACTGATTTGCAACATTTATTTTTGCAGAGGTTTTACTTTTGCTCCTGCAATAGAGCTCTTGCTTTTATCCAGACTTAGGCCAGCTGGGATGAGCTACAGGTGTCAAGGGAGTGTTACAGAGGGGCAGTGTTTCCCAGAGGCATGTTCCAAGTCAGTCAGGCTTTTGAAAGGCAATTGCTGAAAGATGGCAAGTGGAGGTTTCTGGCAATAGGAATGTCGCTTCAAATTAAAATTAACCCACCCTCTTGTTGAAATGACAGCCTTTTAAATCTTTTGGTGGGGAAAAGGAGATTACAAAGGAATGAAAATTAGAGATGTAGTCATTAAGGAGAAGATCTGGCTAAGACAGAAAGAAAGTCTGTGGTGAAGAGGTAGAAATGTGAGTGACCAGCATGGGGGAAGTGCCAGAATGTTTAGGAAGGGACGTGATGGTGTGAAAAGAAAGAAGATCAGGGACTGGGATCAGGGGCTCTGTCACTTCTGCCAAGAATTCTGAGAAAGGAGGATGTTTCAAGTGACAATGAGGGACTACAGAGGCTGGGAGGAGAGACTTGTTCCGGGGAGTAGTTCAAAGTTTCCAAGAGTAATCATTATTTTAACTCAAACTGTAGAGGGACACCTTCTGTGTGCAAAGATCTGAGAATCAGATCCTTCTTCTAACCTTTTCTGGACCCATGGGGAAAGTGGTGTGGAATCATATCAATAAAATATGTCTTAAGCCTATGCATAAGCAAGAGAAGCAGATTGGCAGAAGGCTGCACTGCTGCCCTTGTCAAACCAGTAGTTGTTTCGCTTTCCAATTTCAGTATTTATAGTGCACATTCAAGTGATGGGTGTCTTGATTCACCACTGAATGTGTGTGTTTATATTAAATTGAGCCAGCTTCATTAAAAGACTGAAGATTGTTCCCATGAAATAGATACTTCATATTTCCCAAGTCAAGTTTAATAGATCATGAGGCTATTATATGCACACACACAAAACACCTCATGAACAGCATTTTTAACATAAGGTTTAGAATTATGGGACATTTATTTGCAGTTAAATGCCCGTTACTCTCCCCGAACTCTGTATGTTTAGCTGTCATGGACTGGGCTGCATAAAACTGGCAGATCCATCACTCTTATCAGCTCTAAAATATTTTAAGTAGTTTGGAGAGTGAAGCAGGTCATATTAGTAAGGTCATGTAGTTTATTTGAAGTTTGTTTCTCAAAATGAATTTTAGTGATCAGGTTTTTTTTCATATAGTAGATTCCATCTTAGCATAACTTCAGACAAAACTGGAAGTAGTTTACATTTTAAAAAAAAAGTTACTCAGCTGTCTACACCCAGATTTGAAAGGTTTTTAGGAAGTAATCCAAAATCACCAAAGTATTATGAAGATTCATGTTAATAAATGTAGACTTCAGATCAGGGTAGTAGTTCTGTTGGTAACTTTATTTGTAACAGCAAAACTTTGCATGCACAAAGTAGTGTCTGTAAAAAACTTCCCTTTGGAAGTTGAAACTGTGTGGCTATATCAATGTATATTGATATGTCTCAATTGTATTCTGCAATTGAAACAACCCTTCCTTCTATTCCCCACAGTGTACACAACTACACCCCTAAGGTTGGCGAGATTGATACAAGGAGAGCCATTCGTCAGGCTTTTGATGTTTGGCAGAGAGTGACACCACTTACCTTTGAAGAGGTCCCTTACCATGAAATTAAAAATGACAGAAAGGAGGCAGATATTATGATATTTTTTGCTTCTGGTTTCCATGGAGACAGTTCTCCGTTTGATGGAGAAGGTGGATTCCTGGCTCATGCTTACTTTCCTGGACCTGGAATTGGAGGAGACACTCACTTTGACTCAGATGAGCCATGGACCCTGGGAAATTCCAATCATGATGGTAAGAGTGCAGGTCATCTTTCCCAGCAAGGATAAGTTGGTTGCAAACACTGATAAGTTTTCAACTAGAAAGTATTTGCTTGGTGGAGCTTTCACCTCCTATGCAGTGGTTCAGATGCTTTCTAAATATGTATTCTATCTTAAATGGGAAAAGAATATTATTAGTTTGTTTGTGGCTGTGCATGGTGCGAATTTTAGGAGAGAACAAAAGAATGTGTCTGCTGGATTCTTACATCTCTCAAGATTTGGGCCTTAATTGCTACTAAAACCACAACTCTGGGAGGGAAAAGATGAACAAAAGAGTGTTGAAATTGTATCAAACAGAATACTTTGCAAGGGTCAATTAAACTTAGTTATAAAGGTGTAAATTGTAAAGTTGAGAGTGAAGACATTTAAATGTCAATTTGTTTTGATCCATATTTGGTTTCTCACACTATGGAATTCCTTATCCTGTCAAGAGTTTGGGGCTGGCTGATTAGTTAAGGGAGACTGATGACTGGGACAGTTGTTTTTATCTTATTAAGCAGGAAGAGTTTCTGCATCTTTCAAGCTTTATTTTACTCTCTAAAATCAATGAGCCCTTTCTGTTCTGTTTTCAAACCTTTGATTGATGATAGTGATGCCTTGTAAAAAGTTTAGGCTGATAATCAGAATTTCACAATGGCCTCACAAAATATCTCTCCAATTTCTACAGTCCTAATGGTTTGGGAAAAATGTCTTTAAGCCTTTAGGGATTCAAAATAATGTTTTGATATTTTGATAAGGATTAAAAGTTTACTTGGACTGTAAATATGTCTTGATTTTTAAACCATATAAAAACAGCCCATGACGCCTAAGGACATGTGCAGAGATGATGTCTTTCACTGGACCGAACAGTGTCGTTTGAAAAGAGGAAAAGCTTTCAGGCACACAAGCCACCTTCAGGCCTGGCCTAAAGGTGACAGCTTGCTTTCAGACTGGATTGCAAATGGGGAAAATCCCTCAGAGTTGTGAGTCGGTATCAGATCATCTTTGACAGGAAATGGAGCTGTCGAGTTCATCGAGGGAGTGCTAATTTGTAGGAAAGCAGAGGGTATACGACACTTGTCTTTGTAGGAAAAGAGAAGTAATGTTTCCTGGCATGTGTAAATGACTAGAGGAGGTGTAGGCTGAGAGAGGTGGGGTGTGGAAGGGGGAGTGTGGAGACTGTGGGAAGTTGTAGTGTGACCAAGAAGCAGTGTTTTGATGTCTTGAAATGTTAGGAATTTTTATTCCTAGGTTTGTGGCTGGAGGGCTCCCTCCAGGATGGGGAGTGACAGACTGTCAGAGACTGAGTGGTTACCTTGTGAGAGCTGCAGCAGCAAGGTGTGTTTGTGTGTGTCAGTGCTCTGTGCCACTTTAGTCTGGTCTCAGTAGTTGCTTGAGCTCAGCTATGGGGGTGTGGGAGGCCCAGCTATTGGATATGACTTCCCAGGAAAGCCCATGTATGAGACCTGGGAGTGCTGGTATCTGGGGTAGAAGGTCCTTACTGGAAGTTGGAAGGGAAGGTTTTGATAAGTTGTACTTGGTTTTTTCTATTCTCATTTTTTGCACAAACCTTCTGAGATGAACTTAGCAGAGTTGGGAGACAGCTTAAAGACTGGCAGGGATGGCTCTGCAGATTTTCCGTCCTTTGATAGGATGTTCTACCATAGGTGATCACTTGTTTGAGCATTTTTTTAAATGCAGTTTTTAGGATGGTGTTTGAGAGCAATGTATACAATAAGTAGAGGGTCTCTCTCTTTTTATAAAAGCTATTTTTGTGCTGTTCTTATCCATGTGGCTCTTTCAAAAACATGATGTATTTTTCTTCTGTGCTGAGTGACTGTCATGGGTGGTGTCCTCAAAGTTCATGAATTGGTATTTGAAGGGCTGGTGTGAAGTTTGTGTAAGAATTGATGGAAGAATTGAGATTTCCTTTTCAGAGGATGTCAGCTGTGTATTTGCTTTCAGATTACTGTGCTGCATAGACTGGGCTGCACAGGCTCTCTTAAAAGTCACCAGTGAGGATGTTGAGAATGGTGGGGTTGTATTTGACCCTTCCATCTGGGGGAAATGTTGATGGTAGAAAGATAAATTGAAGTTTTGAGAGTGACAGGGTAATGCTGTAGTCAGAGCATTATAGACCTGTTGTGTGAGGAATTTAGTTTTGTCTGCATCCTTATCTTTGGTGTGCAATTGTGAAGGTGTCCTGCTTCCTCACTGGATGATCCAAACCTCTCCAGGGAGGGGTTTCCTTCTGTTTCACTATTCCTTGTCACTGGAACACTCACTAGCTTCAGGTTCTCAGGTCTGATGTGTTCTATTTGAAGTACTTTTAGCAGGGCTTGAACAGTTTCTTGGTCAGAGGTTTCCTGCTCAGTTCACTGCCAATTTTCATTGAAAGTAAGGTATTAGTGGGGACAATATAATCTGTTTAACAGGAAGTGTTTCTTCAAAGATGGTGTTACTTGTCCTTAAGATATGTATTTTGTGGCAACAGGGTTGATCAGTCTGGGATTGAAGAAGTCGCAGTGAAATAATAAAAAAGCCTTACCAGTAAATCATTAGCAATGGTCTCATTCACGTGCAAAAGAGAAACTGGTTTGACCATTCAGTATCTGTTCAATGATTATAGGAGTCATTGAAGTAACAATGGTGTCTTTACATCAACCCACAAAATATCACAGTGTAAAATGTTCCTCTCCTGACAAGAATGTATATTAGTAAAAGGGAAATTTTGAGCAATCTGCCTTGGAGTTCTTTTAGCCTTGCACTTGTGAAGGTAAATCTCCTGTCAGCAGAGCAGAATGCTGAAACTGGTGCCATAGATCCTTAGAATATTTTGCTGATGTCTCACCCGAATAATTTTATTACAGTTATTCCAGTCAGATCTGAAGCTTTGCTTTTGTGAGTCTGCATTTGTTATGCTGTATTGTGGCACCAGCAGAGGTCCAGTCCATCTGTGTTTGGAAGCAGCTGTCACCCCACAGAAGAGCTGCATTGCAGCCTTCACTAGCAGTATAAATTATATGGATAAAAGTGAAATGTTTCACATGAAATTTCATCCACTCAGGAAAAATAAGAATTATTTGAGCAGATCTTTCTGTGCAAACAGCCGTCTCAAATTTGTACATGGAGAATGTGGTGTATCCCCTTGATGAAAGCTTTCTGTCTTGTAAAGATGCCTTTTGGTAATCCACTGTGGTTACTGACAACTTCATCATCCCAGCTAGGGTATAGTTGTTTGGGATTTATATACTCATTATCATTTTGCATTGTCATCATTATATTGATTTTGCCCTTATGGACAGCATGGCTGCTACCATTTCCCTTAAAATCACTGGTGTAATCATAACAGCTGTGATGCTGTTGCTTGTCCTCTTGAGCCCTTGGTAATAGGGGCACATGCACCAACCCTTCTGTTTTCTTTTACTGTGAAGAATGACCCTTGCATAGGCTTTCAAAGTGAATGCAAAGTTTCCTCCCCCTGGATATCAGTTAAAGTTCCACTCAGGCATTCAGTTTCTTTAGCCAAATAAGACTGTACTTTCAATTTATGGTTGCTGATGAATCTTCATAATTGTACTGCCTTCTCTGGCATTCTCATAAGCAAGCTATGAAAGATTAATTTAGATAATCTTATGATAAGGATGGGCAAAGCCAAGTAGGAAGTTGAAATCCTGAAGCAGCTCTTATTAACTGGGGTCATGGGATACAGAATTCATTTGTTTCCCAGTGATAATGATGAGAGCAGCTGGAAGCACGAAGCAGAATGTTGGAGGAGCCAAGGCAAATCAGAGAAGTGATGTGATGAACAAGATGCAACTGAAAAAGAGAGGGAGTATTTAGAAATAAGTCATCTACACAACCACACAGGAGCTGGCATGGTCACAGTGGTGGGGACTGACCTCGTGTTTTTCCTGGAAGGTGCTCTTCAATAGGAATGAAAGCAGCTGTTGGCCTTTAGCTGGTCCCAGACTTGTTAGGCTTTGGTGCCTGGCACATGGATGCAGGTGAAGCTGTGTTTGGAGTCCCTGTCTTTCAGCAGGACCTGGAGTGTAGCTGCTCCCTGGCCACAGGGCCCCTCTTGGCTGCTCAAATGCAGCGTTTGGTCACTGGCCTGTGTCAGCGCAGGCTCAGTGTCACAACCGCTGGTTTTATCAGAAGGAACACCAGACTCTCCTCTCCTTTCTTGAAGTTTTGGGTGTTTTGTACTTGAAATGTGCTGTAGAAACAGCTGAGCAGGCTTTGAACTGCCCACCTCAGGCAGCAAAAGCCTGAAAGGGAATGAACAGACTTGGCAGTACTGGGCACCTGACTTGGCTCAAGCACGGGGGCGATGCATGAAATACATTATTAAGTAGCCAAATCAAGTATTTACTAGCTTTTATATGGAAATAATAATTATAGATGTATATAACTCTAAAAACAAGTTGAAAAGGAATCCTGAGTGACTGAAAGTCAGTTCTGTCAGTTTAAATATCCACATGATATACAGCTCCTGACATGCCCCTGACAACTCAAACATTTGTTAAATCCAGATTAATTATAGAAAGTAAATTTTTATCTCCAGTTTAACATTGCAACTAGTATTAATAATAATCCCAGGCAAATCTCCCTCCTGGTGTTTTAAAAGCAAAAATTCTTTGCTGTTATGCATGTTGCTAACACCATACATAAATCTGTGGTGTCTGTCAACCCCCTGCAGGTAGATCAGAGAATCTTTTTAATACTAAAGTGAGGTAAGACCTGGGGTATTCATATTCATATTCTGCCAGGGATCACCAGATTTTATTTCTTTCACCATGCCCAGAGTTGGCCTCTAAGACCCTCGCTATCATCTGCTGTCATATAGCATTGTAGGGGGGAGCTTGCCCAGGGCAGCCACTCCAGCTCCTTCAGGAGACATCCAGAGCTGATGAGTTCCTTCTGTACCAGCTCCAGTTTGGCTCATCTTCACATTGTGTGGTCATTGCACAGATCACAGGGCTCAACTTTCAGTGCCTCTCTTCCATACCTGAACCAAGTTTTCTCTGTAAATGTAGGATGAGCATTGTGGCAGCTTTTTAGATGTTGGTAAGAAATGCAGAGCTTTGCTAACAGCAAGTAAACAAATTTTATATTTGTCCTGACTAAGTGTGTCCCCCACAGCTTCCAGTGGGTTCCTGCAGAGGCTTCTTTGGAAAGCTTCCTGTTCAAGGCTTCTGAGAGAAAGCCAACCAAATAGTGCCAGAGTTTGCAAGATGCTGGCAGAAGCAGTATGGGAGATGAGATTTCACAGGTCACCTTCAGTTAATTCAGTGCTAATTCAGTGCAGGAGCTTCTGTAGAAGCTCTGGTGGAAAAGGAACCACCTTTGGGAAGGTACTGTCAGCCACAGAGGAGAGGAACTGGATGGCTTTTTCCCTGTGATTCTGCCACAAGGAATAGCATTATTTCAGTGGAAGAGCAGAGCAAGCACTCCTGGAGTCACCATCTGGACATGGCATATGCTCAGGAACTCGACCAGCTTTTTCAGGGCAGCCAAATGTTGTCTAGGCTGATGAATGTGAATATTCAGCAAGGATCTCAAGGAGAAAATTTTGATGGGGGTAGCTAATTTTGGAGCTTACTGACAGCCAGTGATCATGACAAGCCTGTTTGGGGGAATGCAGAGCTTTAAGCCCATGTTTAATCTGCTGATCAGTGTGTTCAAAGTACTTCAGTGTCTTCACTGGAGGTTTACTGTCTTGGCAATATTAACATCACAAACCTTCTTGATTCTTTGGACATTTGTATCCCTGTAAGCAAGATGAAACCAGGGAAACTGGACTAGGTCAGCCCAGTGAGGAGGAGGAGGATGGGGAGGAAGCATCTAATAGTCTCCCACCTGAGGAGATTATTAGAGAGGAGAGAGAAACTCTCTTCTTGGAGGTGGAAGAGCAGAAAAAGGAACAAAAGGCGAGGGGCACAAGCTGCAACAAGAAAAAATCCACCTGGGCTTTAAGGTAAAAACTTCTTCACCTACAGAGTGGTAGACCTCAGAGGCTGCACCTGGAGAGTTTGTGGGGACTCCAGCCTTTGAGACTTTTGGAATGTGGCTGGATGATGTCCTGAGCAACCTGATGTAATTCTGAGATTAGCTCTGCTTGAAAGCAGAAAAAGTTTAACTTTTTTTAAAAGTTAACTTTAGCAGAAGGTTAAACTTGGTGGCTTCCAGCCATGCCTTTCAATCTTTTTTTTTTCAATCTTTTTCAATATTTTTCCAGAATTCTTTAGTACTGCCATAGACAGAATTTGAGTTCCTAGAACTTAAAAGCAAATTGCAATTACATCTCATGGCAACTCTGAGCCATAGCAAGGTATTCAGCTCATAAAATTCTCTGTTCCTATCAGATGAGGGAGTACCGGTGATGTTCACAGATGCATGAAAAGGTAGCTGGCAATACTTTTTGCTGTTTGATCCTTTTGAAGATGTTCCTTTTTTTATTTTTAATGCCTGAATGTACAAGGTTTATGGAGCATTGACTAGACTAATCCTATAAACATAGAATGTATGTTACAATATCCAAGGGGTTCTCTGGTATTAAGGGGGATGTATCAGTAGGTTTGGCTTTTTCTAGGCAAAATATAGTCATACAATTCTTCATTATCCAAGACTTCCAGGTGTTTCCAGTCACTTTGGAAACATTGCTGGCTAAACATTTTTTATCCTATTTGTTTTGTTTGATTACAGTTGTGATATTTGATGTGGAGGGAGGGAGCTAAGAGGAATGCAGAGTATCCAGCTGTTGCTTTCTTTTTGTCTTTGAGGTTTGTAGGGACATTCATTTTCCTAGGTTGACTCTACTCTCTGCTTGCTCCTCAATTACCTGACTTGTGCAAGTGTAGTGCCTGCTTGGAAAAGCACCTTAACCTCTGTACCTTCACCCAGCAAACTTCCAGAACTTGGTAGTCTTTTCTCCTCAATTAATTCCTGTTTCCTCTGCATCTTGCCTCGCTTTGTCTCATTCTTTTTTATTTTACCACTTTTTCTCATGTTCATTTTCCACTTCCACTACCTGTGGAAGTATTCAGGCCAGCAGTCTACAGAGTATGAATACAATGAGTAACTCACAACAGAGAACATGTGTAATTTTTGTGCTGTTTGGCTGCTAAGTAGATTTTTAATTTTCTTTTTTATTTGTCAGATACAGAACATCTCCACATCTAAAGAGTTTTGTTCTAACAAATGGCATTTTGAATCCATCATTATTTTTCAGGCTTTTGACACTGTTGTTGAAAATGAGCATCAGCATTTTCCAGAGTGAAAACCAGAGCTGCTTTGAAGTTACTCACATGTCCCTTAACACAGAAGACCTGGAAGACTTTCCTATGTGCATTTGAAGTCAAGTGGGGCATAAATTGTATTAATATTTCAATTTATTCTCTTAGGCCTTTTGATGATACATCACCAGGTCATGCTGTTGCTTGGTACTTTGTTCATTGAAGACCAGTTCAGTGTTTAATCTCCAGGGCATACCTACTTAACACTGGTTTCATACTGTAGCTGCTTGGAGAGAGACTCATTCCCATAAGCCAGAGCTCTCTCACATCCTATGCTAATCTAAGCAAGGATATAGACACGTGATTTGAAGACAGCCAGCCACAGTAAAATGAAATCAAATCAGGCAGCTTAAATCAGCAACAGTTTGAGATTACACCCCTGTCCTGTCAACCAGAAGGAGAAAAGAGGAAGCCCATCAGCACACGGGGAAGATTTCCATCTTCAGATTCCCCTCGCCACCTCTGGACACCCTCTCTGTAAGTAGTGCTTTCTTTTGGTGTGTTTTCTGTCATTCTACAAACAGCATTGGCTTCACAATGCAGGCTGGATTTTAAAGCTTGGCAGTGCTAGTTATTGATTACAGCTGGAATTCATTAATAAGAGTCATCTCCAAATTCTAAATTTTCAAAACACTGTACTTGTAAATACACCTGATGGTACTTGTCAATACACCTGCTGTTCACAGTGTTCTTCAAAGAAAAATGTTATCCCATTGCATTTGTTAGTAGTCCTTCAATACACAAAGTATGAATATAGTTCTGTAGGTATTTGGAATCCTATTGATTTATGTATAATCAAAGTAAAGTATTTTACTTCTTTTCACAGAGAATGAAATACTCTGGGATTCACAGGGAAAAGCCAGTAAGGATCAAAATGATGTGTCATTCCCTTAAAAAGGAAGGAAAAAAAAACCCAACAAAACTGTGAAAAAAAAATAGGTTGCAAGAATCAAGGTGAGCCAAAAAGTCTCTTTTTATCACTTTCCTGTTGTAAAGCAGAAAATAATGATGTGAAATGAGCCAAAACAGAGCAGTATCTTTATTAAACTTGCTGCATTCCACTTGCTGAAGGTGGGAGGAGAAAAAATAACAGGCCATCAGGAAGCAAAAAAAAGAAAAATAGAGGAGTTCTTGTAAAGAGTTTGCAGGTAATTACAGGCAGAGGTGGACTGTAGCATCAGTAGGGAAATGACACCCAATACTCTGGATTTTGTCATCACACACAAGCAGCAAACTTGGGAGTTGCTTAAATTACCTTTATGTTTTCTCTCCTGTTTCTGAAGGAGAGTTCACAGTTTGAAAACAGTTCGACTAGCATTGCCTTCTCTACCCAAATCCACCAAGAACAACATGACTCTTCCATCCCAGCTCTCATATGTCTCAGTCCTACTCAGGCTTTACAGCCCTATCAGGAACTTTATGTGTCAGGGGAGGATGAAGACACAAAGTCTCCTGTTCTAGAGAACACCCTTGTTGTGGCACAGAACTACTTTCATAGCTTCCAGAACAACATTTGCTCTGTTGCCAGCATCAGGAATTAAATATCATTTCAACCTGATGGGCAGAAAAGGATTTCAGATATCACAGACTGGATTGTCCACACTGCCTGTGCCAGGACCTGAGGTTTTTTTGTTACCTTCCCGTGTTTCCACAGCTGGGTCAGGACTGAATTCTGTCAGATGACCCTGCTGTATTTAAATACTTTTAAAATACAAACAGCTCCTTTTCAAGACTGATGGAATGAAAGTCATATCTACTTTTTTTGTGATTCTATGATAATTTTTTTTCTCTACCTCTTTACTGTCTGTTCTACCAAATTCTCTGCTGGTAGAGGCAAATACATATTTTCATTTTGGGATTAGTAATTCTTTGCTATTGATTTGTTTATGGAATTACAACCTACATTTGTGAAAGATGGGGTTAATTTTTCAGCAGAAGACTCCTACTCCACTGACTGTCAAGCTGCTGAGCCAGCTGAAGTGGTACGACTGCCCCTCTCTCTGCCTGCACACTCTGTCAGTTTTGGTCTCCATTCCAGACCATTAGTTTGTATTTCTCCTCTGAGTTTCTACAGGAGATTGTCCTCATAATGCCCTCTGTCCATGTCAGATAAAGCACAGCTTGCTCCATTAGTAAGGTGTGCAGCACAGCTACCAGCCCTGATTTGCACGCTGCCTTTTGTGCAGTAAAGGCAAGTTACCTTACACATTGGTAACATAATGTGGTTCTTTGTCCTTCTGCAGTACATTGGTCTCGTGGGGATCAGTTTAACATGGCTGTGGTACAGTTGCTGTCAAAACTGCAGCTCAGTCCTTCTTTCTCCAGGGAAGCTGTTTAGACACTTTTCAGAGTTTTCATTAATTCCATAAGAAGCAACATGCACGGTCATTGCTACACGTACCAGTAATTGCTTATGAACAAGGTAACACTTGGATTTATTTTTAACATGCATTTTCTTCCTTTCTAGATAGAACAGCTGTTTACCACAGAATTCCACAGAGCAGTATCACCCCTTCTTCAGGGTCTTCAGAAGACTGAAAAGCTTTCCTTGGGCAGAGCGTGTTGTGGAGGTGAATGGAGGAGCACAGACAAATCACATGTTCTTCTGTTGAGCAGGTCAGACCTACCAGGTCTGAAGATGAAAGAACCAAGGCATAGCTTAGAGTAGCCCTAAAGCTTCTTTAAGTTGTGCTTGGGAAATAGTTGTCTCTACATGACTGTTGGGGTGGAAAGGATCATTTTAGTTTATTTAAAGCACGTTTAGTTCACACCATCTCTTCTGTAATTACCTGAGGCATGCTATTGTCACACACAATCAATCATCTGATTTCTTTAGTATCATGCTTACTTTAATAAAATATCAAAATATAACCTTCATATGTCTTTTTAATTGTGTCTGGGTACACTGCAGTATGTACATGTGTTGGCAGAGTGATACAGTTCATAAAGTATAAAACTAACACAACAAAGAGCAGAGATTCAGTCTCTTTTCTGCTGATATGCAATATTATTTGTACTTCTGTTGTCTTGGAAGCTGTATCCTGGATTTACAGTCCCCAGTGCTGTGTGCTCTGCAGAGCTTATCCACATGCTCAGGGATAAACACTGATGGCAATAACTGATAGCACTGCCCTAGTGGAGTCCCTGCTACCCGCTGCTATGAACTGTCAGGCATTTCAGCAGGTGGCTTTGCTGACCTACAGGAGTTATTCAGTGAATTACTTGGCCAAATAAAGTGTTTTGGTGTGGATTTTCATAGTTAAAAGGAATGACACGGTACAAGAAGGCATGTGCTGGCAATTTCAGAAAGAAAAGCTTTCTCAGGGTGTCTATTAACTATTGAAAGTTTTTCTCCAGAGGAAGATAAAAATCAAAGTATCAGGAGGAATGGAGCTTGAGAGTTGAAGGAAGTTCATACATAAATAGTTTATCTATGACTCGGTGTTCTCTGTGCTGTTGCAATAAAACCATGTGTTTCTTTACTCTGCAGGGTAAAGTAGAACATTACAAACAATTTGAAACTCCTTTCACCAAAGATGTGGGTTTGATGTGGGATTATATTGCAGTTTATCTAAAGTTAGCTCATCTGGGAGCACACCAGCTAATGAGGTTTATCCTGAACACAGATTGTTTTTAATTAAGAAAATTCAACTTATATCTATGTTTCAATTTGTATTGAGCCATTGAGCTGGATGTAAGGTAAGCAGTGTATTCACCTGGTGTGGCATCATGATAATGGAGGATGCTTTTATAGGTATGTCCTCACAGTTGTCATTTTCTGTGGTGATAACATTGTGTTGGGGAGGAAAATACATCAGCAAAAGCTAAATTAACTGTGTTTCTTTGTGTTTAGCATAGCAGGTGGAACTATTTCACTCAGTGAGCTGACTTACTCCCTCCCACCAGTTTTACCAGGGTCATCTTCTTTCTAGTGCTCATTGGTGGACTTTTGGCTGCCTCCTGGGAACTGGGAAGGAGGAAACTCAGGCAGGTCTCTGACCAGACCTGTTTGTTTTGTACAGATGGTGTAAATGAGCAAAAATTGTTGTATTTCTCTTGGGACTGTTTCCTCCAAGTACAGATCCATCTTAACCCTACTGACTTACCCAGGTGCCTGGGGCACTCTGAGTACAAGGTTTTGTTGTTACTTGGTCTTGGGGGAGTGGGTTGAACAGGAAACTAAGGAGCTGTATCCCACTGCCTGACCTTGTTTCCGTAGCCAAGCATCAAGCTAGGCTGTTAGTTCTCCATCTGAATCTTGCTTCAAGAAGATGGACACTATGGGACAAAATGGACACTATTTTGGACAAGAAATACAACAAACTGGGAGGTCAGAGACCTTTCTGTATGTTCAAGAACCAGCAGAAACAATGTAGGAGGTACAAGCTCCTATCCAGACTCCCCCAGCTCAGCAGTGCATGAGAACACAGAGAGCCTTCACAGCTCCAGGCTGAGTGCTGTGGGAGGAAAGAATGATATTGGTGGGTTTGTACCTCAGTATTTTCTTTTCAGAGCAAATCCTAGCCCACCCTTTCAAAAGGAAATTAACAATGTGTTCTCTTCCATGCTGTGGAATTCCCTACCGTTAGCAAATTAAAAGGAACTTGTTCCTTAACAGTATTATTAATATCATGTGACCTTTCAAGAGAAAATAGGATAATGAATCCAGAGCTGGATTTTTGAGAACTCTGGGCTTTTGAAATGGTCTTAAGACTTCTTTCTCCCATCTCCTCCTCCCTTGAAATGCTGTCTCACTTGTTCTCTGAGAATGATGTAGTTGTTTCAGACCTGGGACCCCCTAAGAGTTTACAGCAGGATGGAGAAAGCAAGATGACACAGGCATGCTGGAAGGAAAAGGTCAAGAGATGTGTCTGAGAGGAGGCTGGAATAGAAGGATGAGAGGATTAAACTGTGGTGAGAAATTTTTGGCCAGGGCAGAGAGCAGAAGGAGAGGGAGCTATGTGTACTTCTGCCATGACTGCTTCCCAGCAAAAGCAGATTAGAAGCAACCACAGCACTGAGAATCAAGGTACTTGGAGAGAATTAAGAGGAGTTTCTTGTCCTGCTATTTGTGGAGGTCAGTTCACTTTCTAGGAATTCTCTCGAGCTCTACTTCATCTGCTCCAGCCACCACCCGGGGTTTATCACTGCTCTGGTTTGGGTGGCCTCCTGCCCATGGAGGAGGAGAGCTTTTCTACTCCACTGTTGACCTGCCTGCTGTGGGTGTGTTGGAGCTGGGACAGTTCATTTCATTGAGAGTTTTTTACCTCTAGTTGCAACAGAGCTTCCCAGCATTTTGCGTGCTTTGTGGCATTCTCACACACAACTGCCAGTCAGAATGGTGATTTAAAACTGGACAGCAGCAGCTGTTTTCCACAGCTGTGTTTCCTAAGCATAGCTGTTAAAGGGTGTGTTTCTATTCCATAGTGGAAGAGCTGGTTGGCCTGACACCCCTCATGGCTGAGGTACTTCTTCAGGAATGAGCCTTCATCTTGCTGATCATCACAGAACTCTTACTGGTTGTCTCACTGGTGATCAAGGAACAAAAAATTATGATCTTCTGGACCTGATAGCTGAAGGAATGTGGGTAGTGTGAAGATCAGTTGCATCCTTGGCTGTGGAAACCACAAGGTGGAGAAGTTCAGGATATGTGTCAGAGGAGTTGAATGAGATCAGTACTAACACCTTGATGAAATGACATCAGTGACGCAGCAGAGTGCACATTCAGCAAGTCAAGATCACAGGAAATCTGGAGTGGTTGGTAGCAGTGCCCAGTGAGGCTGTTGTTCAGAGACCTTGAGAGGCCAGAGGAGTAGGCTGACAGGAACCTAAGGAAGGTGAGCAAGGGGAAATGCACAGGCCTGCCCTGGACTGTTGGTGGCTCAGAGACTGGGAAGCAGCTTTGCAGAGAAGGACCTGAGGCTCCTGGTTGACAACAAGCTGAACATGAGTCAGCAGCACAGAAGGCAAACAGCATCCAGAGCTTGCCTTTGTAAGAGTGTTGGCAGCAAGTCAATGCCAGCAAGGGGATGATCCTTCCTTTCTGCTTGGCACATCTGGAGTGCCCTGTGCAGGACTTCCCAGTATGAGAAGCCTGACACTCAAACTCTGACAAGACAGCCTGCTTTAACTGATCTTGCTTGAGCTGGACTTTGGACCAGACAATCTCCAGAGGTGCCTTCCAGCCTCAACCATCCTATGAGTCTGTGGTATTCATTTTCCACTTGTAAAGTGGACTGGTATTTATTTTGGGCAGAAACAAGTGATTGAAAGCTATTTAAAACTAATTTAAGATAGTGCCTGATCTTATGCTCCTGGTAAAGTTTTAGCACATAGAGGCAAGTCACTTCCATAGATTATATGTAGAGTTACACAGAGACAAGTTCTAGACCTACTGGCAGCACAAATACTGCAGATTCTTTAGAAATGAGGAAAATGCCACCAAGGGAAGGCGAGGGAAGATGTCCCTGAGCACTGGCACAGACTATGAGCCTGTGGTGAGTGATGAGCAGGGTCTCATGAGGTCAGCTCTGTACTAAGTGAGCTTTACTGTGGACTTCCACATGTGAGTAGTTGTGGTAGCAGTGAAAATGATGCTTTCATGAGCATTTTGGTGATACAGGAGGCTTAAGTTAATTCAATTTTGCCAAAGGATATTGAATCTCCGAATCTCATTTGGAACCTGGGTGCATCTTCTAAGCTTGAGTGTTTTTGAAAACCTGTGAAGAGTGATCAGTTCTCCAAACTTTACCATAAAACTACTTCATGGATTTTATACTTGCTGTTGGATTTTATACTTGTGTTGACTTGTTCTACACATACCAGATTTTCAACCACGGATGAGAAAAAATTACTAAGTAGGTCTCCATTTGGACTTCCCAAATACAGAAATTCTAAAATTTTACATAAATATGTGGCTAAAGTTTAGGCTGTGTATGTTTTTGGACAATTGCATTTGAAAATTTGAAATGCATGTGTATATTTTAACATATCTTGCATATTCAGATGCTTTCACCCTCCAACTCAAATGTTTAGAGCATTTAACCATTTTGGGGTGATACGTATGGCTGGGGGAGCACTGTTTGGTACTGACCTCAGGTATCTTCAGAGCCTGGCAAAGCTCCCTGCTGTGGAGGCTCACAGACCCCGGGAACTGCTTTTATGTTTTTTATGTTTTTATGGGTAACAGTGAAGCAGTAACTATTTAAATTAAAAAGTGGAGATGGTTCTGTGTGAGTCACTGTTGCAACTCCTGTCTCAAGGAGAGCTCAACACTGAACTGAGCTTTGGTGTCTCCAAGGCAGGTGCAGTTGGAGGTGTGAGGAAGCTCTTTGGAGAGGGAGAGCAGCTACTGAACTGCCACTGACAACTGATTGCAAGTGTCTGATTGCAAATGCTCTTGGTTTCTGCTTTGCCAAAAAAAAAAAAAAAAACCAAAACCAGAGGAGCCCAAATTGAGGCAGAATTGAGAGCTCAGACATTTTACTGCCGTGAGGAGACCCTTACCTCAGTCCTTGTTGGCTGTATCTTCATCCCTACACAGCATTGCCTGGGTCACTTTCCAGTGCCCTTATGGAGTAAGGCATCCAGGGACCACACTAGCTTAAAGAGATGAGGGTCCCAGGCCCATGGGACTGAAGAGGAATGTGTGCCTGTAGATTTGAAGGTACCCCTACTTCTCACTGCTCCCAGCTTCTGCACCTGACAGCGCTCCCCATCCTTTCTTCTTCCTGTCAGGAAGCATCCTGACCCTTCTTTCCTCTCTCTTCCTTCTGTCTTCCACCACTGAGATCCAACCCAGCCTTTTCCCTGTGTGGGAGTGGGGCAGGATGGAGCTACCTGTGCTCACCTCCTGCACACATGGCAGTGCC